GGACTACACACAACACATACGGCTCAAACCAGGGCAATCTCTCGAATTACCCCGAGATTCCTTACACATTGCAAACACAAAGTCCTACTAACTACTCAGCTAACGCCCAGCCGACATTTCGGATAGGGACCAGCCCCCTCAGCGCATACCCTATAGGCGGAGAGCCTGCGTCGCCTGGGTGGATGTCAATGTCTTCACCTCCACCGCAGTTCCAATCTCACATCCCCCAAAATAATTACCACCAGCAGCTAAGATATCCAGTTCTCAACCCCCTAATACCCCACCTTGGAAATATCATTCCTGTTTCTCTCGCTTGCGACTTGATCGATTTGTATTTTGCCAGTTCGTCGTCTGCTCACGCCCACCCGATGTCACCCTATGTTCTCGGCTTCGTCTTTCGGAAACGATCATTCTTGCATCCTAGCAAACCTCGCCAATGCCAGCCAGCACTGTTAGCAAGCATTCTTTGGGTGGCAGCACAGACGAGCGATGCCCCATTTTTAACCAGCGTTCCGTCTGCGAGAGGCAAGATCTGCCAGAAGTTGCTTGAACTTACTGTTAGCTTGCTTAAGCCATTAATACACACTCCATCTGGCGAAGCTTCGCCAGTTTCCAGTCCAGTAATAGACGGTGTAGCCTTAGGAGGATTGGGTGTTGCCCTTCCTGGCTCTATGAGTATGGAAAATCTCACGGGAGAATCTGGGGCTTTTGGCGCCGCCGGGACGCTTGACGACGTTATCACTTACATCCACCTAGCCACGGTAGTTTCCGCCAGCGAATACAAAGGTGCTAGCCTTCGATGGTGGAATGCTGCGTGGTCTCTCGCGAGAGAGTTGAAACTTGGCCGAGAACTCCCGGCGAGCGTACCTTCAATAGTCCAAGGTAATAATGGCAACGATATCGATGCAGATGGCGAAACCGAGGATGGCCTCGGTAACAACGTCGCCCCCGGAACTGTCAGCGAAGAGGAACGAGAAGAGCGAAGGCGGATATGGTGGCTTACCTATATTGTAGACCGTCACCTAGCACTATGCTACAACAGGCCACTATTCTTATTGGATATCGAGTGTGAGGGTCTTCTCCAGCCCATGGATGACACCGAATGGCAGAACGGAAACTTCAATGCCCATACCACGGATCCTGCCTTATCGGAACCGCAAGGATCTGAAGGAGTTCGGGTGCGTGGGCCACACTTTGAGTGTACCGGTCACAGTATCTTTGGTTATTTCCTGCCCCTGATGACTATACTAGGCGAGATTGTTGATCTTCACCATGCTCGTAATCACCCCCGCTTTGGCATTAGTTTCCGTTCGGCCAGGGAATGGGATGACCAGCAAGCTGAGATTGTGCGACATCTCGAGGCGTATGAGCAAAGCCTAAAGATATTTGAGCAAAAACATTTTAACGCCAGTTCGGAAGATAAGAACGAACAGTCTGCTACGTTGGAGATGCCGTCTGAACTAGACCAGATCGGCTCGCCATCAGGACGATCTGTGCATACCAGCTCGTCACGCATGACCGAATCCGATATTCAAACCCGTATCGTCATGTCTTATGGCACACATGTCATGCACGTACTGCATATTCTGCTCACTGGAAAGTGGGACCCCATAAACCTCATTGATGATAATGACCTGTGGATCTCGTCACAAGGCTTCATCACAGCTACAGGACACGCCGTGTCTGCTGCAGAAGCTATTAGCAACATACTCGAATATGACCCAGGGTTAGAATTCATGCCTTTCTTCTTCGGAATATATCTACTACAAGGCTCATTCCTATTACTACTTATTGCCGACAAGCTACAGCTTGAGGCTTCGGCTAGTGTAGTCCGTGCCTGCGAAACTATCATCCGCGCCCATGAAGCGTGCGTTGTTACGCTAAATACTGAATATCAGGTGAGTAATGAAGCTCACAATACCTTCTTAATTAAGCTAACTTCCTTCTAGCGCAACTTCAGCAAGGTGATGCGTAGTGCTCTCGCTCAAGTTCGCGGTCGCGTGCCCGAAGATCTTGGCGAGCAACATCAGCGTCGCCGAGAGCTTCTAGCTTTATACCGCTGGACCGGTGACGGTACAGGTTTGGCCTTGTGAGATATATACTCGCAATATACATTATTTTGTTCTACTGTGAATACCAAATAGGTGGCGGGCGTTAGGGATTTTGTTTAACGGAGTTATAAAACGGACTAAGTGGAGTGGCTGGCGTCTCGATTTACGGATGGCCAAAATCATTCCCTTGGTGGTAACGAAGGAATCGGACAAAAGGTCAATGTGCAAATGATCACTTGTTTGAATAGTTGGGGTTACTCGGAGATGAGCAAGATGTTTTGATAAAGGGTCAATTATCGACATTTAAGGTCGATAAGAGTAGTCGTTGAGGCAAAATTACAGATAGCTCGCGCTAGGCTTCTTGTAAAGCCATTCCGCAGAACCCTAGGCGTTGTTCACTTGGGAGGAGATGTGTTTAGAAGCGTGGAGTTTGAAGGAGGTGGTCGGATAGTTACGTACACGTACGAGCCCAATTAGAGAAGAGACTTGATTCAAACTCATCCCTTGTCGTATGTGGTCGCTAAGTGCATAATGCAGACGCGTTGAATATCATGGACGGTGACATGTCTACTGCATGGTAACGGGTATGCCGTGAAACGTGACGCAGCATTAACAGCCATCCACTGCTACTGACTTATCCTCCAGTGAAGACACACGTGAAACTGTCAAGTCATCGGGTACGTTCCATTGATGGCCACCTACCGTGCCGATATATTGGTTCTAGCCATTGACGCGATGCTCTGCCGTGCTCAGGGGCTGCCGAGTGCTTATTTTGCCGCGGAGCATACCTAGGTAAACCTCGGTATTTACCTTCCTACTACGGCTGCCATTTGAGACATGGTATCATGGGATAAGGTAGTTGAAATGTAGCTTGTGGTGTCATCCTCACCACCATGTCGCAATTCCTTATCTCTGATGAAAGAGAGTAGGCACTTAATCTAACGCAGGTACGGCTGGAGTTCTAGAACTATGAAGCTTATGTAGATAGTAGTTAATATATCATACCTAATAGTGTAGGATTGAGTCCTGGCTCAAGTAGTCCTGGCTCGAGTAAATTTTGCGTTACTAGAGAGGTTTACACAACCGTCTTAGTTTATGTTTCAACCCTTTCATAATTAGGATTATATTAGTTAATATTCCTTAATAGGTACACATCTTAGAAATCTTTATGAAAATCGAATGCTATAATTTATAATAAACATAAAAATTACTTGGTGGGACATCCGGGGTGATAGTTCAGGGGAGGTAAAACTCCCCAATCTTACCGTTGATAATATATAAGCTCTATCAAAACAAACTCTTCCACATACGACCATAGGATCTGGAAAACTCGGGATCCCGTCCGCTCTCCCATCGATAAACCGGATACCGCCGGACCAGTAGTTGGGTCGGTGACGACCAGCGAATCCCCGGTGTTGTATGTTTTTTTCTTCTTTTTTTGTGCTCGTTTTTTACTCCCTGGTGCCTGAATAACGACTCTATCTGGACAATTAAGTTGCTAAGATGGTTTTTTTGACTACAGTATTACTCTTTCCGTTGATTCTATTTAATAACATTAGGCCCTGTTTTGAATTCAACAAAGCATCGCCTATACTAGCGTCTTTAGAACGAGGATCATCCTATTCAACAAGCGCCACCTTGTCCCGCAAATCTACACAGACCGTCGTCCCTTTTGCAAGGTATTCGAGGAGTAGGAAAAACCTACTAAGTTCTAGCTCCCATACCTCGACATCTAGATCGACAATCCCATGATCCGCATGATAGTTTGAACATAGGTAGTCTCTTGAACTTCCCGCAGCGACTGCTTAGGGCCAGTCTAGTGAAGCCTCCGCATGCCGCTAATATCTGGCATACTGGACTTGGATGGTCACCATTGAATATTTGGGAATTAGTCACAGCCTTCTGATGGCTGTTTATGGAGCTTGTAGTACGTTAGATAATCCATGTCCATGCTGTCGAGGATACCTGTGCTCCGAATGCTATATGAGATTGTCGTGCTGAAATAAGTGGTCGAGGGGACTGCTGTTAGGTACAGTACGAGACATCTTAGCGAGGATCTGAATATAAGTCAGGCTTCCTCATGTAAAACTGGGAATGCCATAGACCAGGCGGACATATTATAGTTCATTTCCTCTTTTACCGATGGTTGTTTTCTTAGTATGGCCGCCGTATTAGTAGTTAAATCGACGACGAGTAAGTCCCAGCTATCTTCACTAGTTATATGTATCTTAATATCACGTAAACTTTATGTATTAAGCTCAGATTTATCCAGTGCTTAACCTAGTTTTACTTATATTGTCAAATAACCCCTAAAATTGACATGGTCGAAAAGAAATAGCTCGGGTGTAGCATGGGGTGTTAAGGTCCCTAAGGGATGACTGTCCCCCTTTTCTCTTTTAAACATTATAAACAAGGTTGCATGCTACATCCAAACCTATCTAATACTTATGTAACTAGATGAAAAATACATATCTTATTAATCAAGCTATCTTGTGCATACAGGTCATCTATACAGCCCCCATCGCCAACCTGTCCCACCGCGCCCAGTATCTTTCTTCGGGAAACTGGGCGGTCTTTAAGCATTTTGATTTTTGAGTCTCCCGCTTCCCCCTTTTCCCTCCTCTAGAAGTCTTGCGTTAGGTACTCTAGCAGCTTAAAATTTTGGAAATCAACATATGAAATGCCGTGGTATCTATAATACGATCGGATAATAAGGGGTAAGGGGTGTTAGTGAGCAAACAACGGAAAAGTTGCGGTTGTATCGGTTAGGACGGCATCGGCTGCCACCAGCTTAGCTTCTAAGCGTTTATCATGAAATGAGATTGAAAGAGGGTCTTTACATGGCCTCGAATACCTACATGTTATTTAATTTCATGTTTGATATAGCTATTCTCGTCACTACATCTTCGATCTCATTGATCCTATATAGAATTTGGTGATATGAAATTGTGTGAGTGAGTGGCTAAATGTAATGATACTTTGGTACCTAGATGAGATTATGTATTAGATCTCACTCCCGGATACGTACATGTACCCTAGGCAGGTTTCCAGGTACGACCCGCGGGGTTGGATTTAGTTATCTGTAACGGCCCGTTCACCGAGTGGCTAGGTGCCTAGGTGCCTATAGGTACACCGACTGAGGGGTAGCTCCGATAAGGCGTCGCCGATACGAGATAAAACGGCGGTATTAGAAGTTGACTTCAAATTTCTTTCATATATCCAACTCATGCATGTAACATTTCCCACGTAAACTCCATAAACCTGCTTGAGGATGGCGACTGAAGAAAGTAAACGTCGCGTTGAAGCGCTAATTCCCAAGTTCCAGTTTGAGCGCGTGATTAATCAAGGTGCGTCATAATTATAATGGAATCCTACATGTATTATCGACAATGCTACCCAGAATGATGTCCTCCATATGTGCATTCTCTAGAGCTATAAGATTAGGGTATATAATATAAGAACTGACACAGCGTAAAAAGGTGAAGCAGGACGGCACATCACGCTATACGGACAAGTCGACTCGCAACCTGCGCTTCTCATACTAGAACGCGCTCCTATCCCCGACGCTGAAGAGTATTTGTCCGTCCTGCCTGCTAATCTACGCAGCATCACAAACCTAGGCAATAATGATATATATTCGTGGTTCCTAGCCTCGGGAGCACCCATCCTCAAGGGAAATGAAAACGACAAGTTTGCCGACCTCAAGATATCCCTGATATGCCCTTGCACAGAAAAGCATATCAAGAAACACAGCAAGCAAGGGTACCGCTTCGTGACAGAGACACCCGAGATCTACCGCAATAAGGTGCGGCCGTTTATGCAGATAAATCGAGAAGAGGGCCACTTGAATTGGGTCTTTAATATCATCGAAGGGAGGAAAGAAGTCGAAGACGTCATTTATAGAACACCGCTGGGCCAGGATGGGGACGAAGGGTTCCTAATGCTGCCGAATCTGCACTGGGACCGAAAGACAATCGAAGCGTTACACCTTTTAGGTATAGTCGAACGACGAGATATCTGGAGCTTGAGGGACCTAAAGAAAAAACACATCTCTTGGCTGAAACATATGAAAGCCAAGCTGATAGACGCCACGGTGAAGACATATCCGCAGATCGACACGGATCAACTGAAACTGTTTGTTCATTACCAGCCAACTTATTACCATTTCCATATCCATGTTGTGCACGTCATGTTAGAGGCAACTTCTACTCAGTCGGTCGGGAAAGCGATTGGGTTGGATAGTATCATCGAACAACTCGAGTCGATGTCAGGAGATGAAGAGGTTGGGATGGACAGCATCTCGATAGGCTACACGTTGGGTGAGGCATCGGATCTGTGGATTGAAATTTATGAGCCGCTTAAGAACTCCGGTAAAGCTTCTCAACCGCAATGACAAGATCATTAACACCCGGTCCGCTAGCACAGTCGGTCCATTCCCCACCATCTCGAATGCAATATACTTGGTCGTTGAGTCGGACCGTGCAGCTCTTTGTGACACCCGCCTAAATTATCACTAGTTAGCCAATATTACTTCCAATAATACTACGTAGAACGTACGTCAGCACTCCTCTGGACGCTTTCTCTCAGCATAGCCATTCCAATAGCTACGTCGTCCTTTGCAGCGCAATCGTTCAATTTCTCAAAGTCAATAGCGTGTTCCAGCGCGCAGTCTTCAACTAGTTCTCGCTGCGGAATCACCTTATAATCCCTCGTCAAGCACATGGTGAAACCGAGATAGATCTTGGGGTCCGGGTACAGATGGTGCGCGCAGAGTTCGATGATATTGCCCATGCACTCGGTGGGGCCGTGTTTACAGTCGACGCCGTCATTTTCGGTCGGCGTTCCAATGTACGACAATGTAAAGTTGACTTTCTCATTTACGCGCATCATAGCGGGTAGCACTAAGTCTCTGAGACAATCTCTAGCGTCGGGGCATTTGCTCATTATGTGCGCCTCTAGAGGGACGAGCTCTGAATCCGTCGACACAGAAATGCTGGGGGTTGGCGTCGATGATTGCTGTCGAGAGGGTTCCGGGACGAACATAGTAGCGTATGAGGATACGACATGGTTGCAAAATACCATGTAAAGCGCGTAGAGAGATGCGACGATGAGGGTCATTGCAAGGATCGGTCGGCGTTGACGTCGACAGTGGTTTCGCGTCGCCGGCTTCTCCTCCATTATCGGAAGACTGCTCTTGGCAGCCATCTTCTCAGGTAGTTTGGCCTATTGATTTTTCTGAAGACTAGTAAACAACGTGATTACTGAAATGCTCAACGATGCATCTCGTATTAAAAAAAAAAAATAGAATAGCACTGGAGCAATAAAAATGAAGACTAGAATTGCTATTACTGGATGGCAAATGGCGAAATCAAGTCACGATGGTCTAGGAAGGAATAAAGTTTATCGTGACCAACGTTAGGCACGGGATTGAATTCAAAAGGTGACCTAAGGGGCTTTCCCGAAGAGCCTCCTGCCGCGGCATGTAACAAAGTGGCCCAGCACGGCGCACGGCGCAAAAGCGTAAAGTTTACTAAGCTACATGTAACTGGAGCTACTGCTTGAAATTGGACCGAGTCGGCAAGTCAGGCGCCGGTTGGTTCTGCTATCTGCCCTAAGAGATCTGGAAACGTGGAGCGCAGGTCGCATCCATCAATGTGGCTGATGAAACCCACCTGCCTTAACCTTAGTTAATCTAGCCTCCGGTAGCAGTGACTTTGTACGAAGTACATACATACACAAGGTCCCCTAGTTCAAGTAACCCTGGCAGTCCTTTCTAGTAGATCTGGTACCTATTACGAGTTTTGACTGGACCATGAGACCTTGGAACTCTGACCCTTTTAACCCACACATCACCATTCGGAATCGAGTCAGGGTGAATAAGGCCGTTCAACGTTACTATTGACTTACCTATTCCATCTAATTTGTCCGATCTGTCTTAGGAGCGATTGCCTGATGTTTCGATATTATTACCTTCACCTAAATTTATTTATCGTGCTACACGCACGTTCGCGCATATTTTACGCATATTTTCGTCGTCCCTTACCTGCATAAGTCGATACAAGTCGATACATTCAGACGTTCTACCCACTATAGTCCACTGACCTACAGCGGTACCCAATGAACATCCCTGCAACTGTAACGTTTCTAGAAATCTACAGCCGCTGATTCGGCAGTTCGTTCTGACTCTTACCCTCTTGGAATCAAGTCACTTGAAACTACCAGCGAACATAAAGAACATATATACAGACACTCGTACCATATAGGGTAGTCTCGATTCGAAGCCGATTTCCGCAAACTTTCCTTCAAACAAATCTTAGAACATATATAACATCCTAATTCTATCCTCCATTAGAGCATACGTACTGTACTTTCTTTTAGTATCCGTGCCAGCTCCGTCCAAACTCGTCTAAACCCACCCGCCTCACTCTCACGACTTATCGACTTATCGTAGATATGACCTCGACGTCATCACGAAGTCGTCCTACTACTTGACTAACACAAAAATCGCGTTTTATACTCAACGACTTAGAAATTAGGTAATGGGCATGCCAAACGCAACTATGAAGTCCGGCGTTCAAGACTTCCTCGGGCCCCTTTCCGTTGATGAGGCAAAGGCGCATGCGTTATCACTTGAGTTCTACCGAACATTTCAGGATCTATCTGCCAATTCGTTGAACCAATTCCTCCCGACCCCGATATCTGAGTCAGTATTACGGCCCACCGCAGGTAGAGAAAAGGGACGGTATGTTACCATATAATTTACCCACCAATGCTATAATTGAGCGTTCTTTGCCCTTAAAGTTCCATCTGCTTTCGACCAGTAGGCTAATTTATAGTATAGATATTTAGCTATTGATATGTACGAATCCAGTCAATATAACATATATGCACCCGGTAGCTTGAACTAACAGCTAGCAGTGGTGGTACTAACTTAAGGGTTGGCTTTATTGAGCTACTCGGGAACGAAAAAGTCGTCGATGGCGGTAGTACCAATGGTGACTTGGAGACTTTAAACGGAGAACCGACGTCCAACATCCGTCGATTACTTGAGAAATCATGGCCAATCTCAGATGTACTTAAAAATGAGAATGCCGATTCGCTGTTCAGGTGGATCGGGGCTTGCATTGCAGAAGTTGTACGGGAAGGCTGTCGGGAATTTGACCTACCTCGCGACCAAGAACTTCCCATGGGAGTCACATTCAGTTTTCCAATGGTGCAGGAGACCTTAGCCGACGCAACACTAATGGCAATGGGAAAAGGATTCGCTATCACCTCTAGGCTACAGCTTGGGACTCATTTAGTCAATGGATACGAGAGGTCTAAGACTCCAGACTTACCTCCTATCAAAGTTGCAGCCATCCTAAACGACTCAGTTGCGACATTGGTCTCCTTCATATACCAATCTAAAGAAGATGAAACCCATAAGGCGGCAATGGGACTTATCTGCGGCACTGGTAGCAACGCAACGATACCCCTTAAGAGGAGCACTCTCCACAAGGACAAGCAACCCGGAAAAGTTAAAGTCCTAGATGAAAATTCAAGCGTTGACATGAAAATCGCTGTTAATACCGAATGGAGTATTAACGGAACAGCACCAGCCCTACGAAAGTTTGGCCTAATCAGTCAATGGGATGCTCAGCTCGACTCTGAAGGCGAGGCGCCTGGGTTTCAGCCCCTTGAATACATGACGGCGGGTCGATACTTGGGCGAGCTTGGACGACTAATGCTACTAGACTACCTCGAGAACCACCTAAATATCCCTTCGGATGCTTTGCCCACGCGGCTTTTAACACGCTTTGGCCTTACAACTACCTTTCTTAGTCATTTCCGCCCTCCGGTTGCAGAAATACTACTAGAGAAGCTGGAGGCCGAATTTCCGGAATCGACTGCTAAGGCACCTTTCCGGTGGACGGAAGAAATCGCGGATGTTTTACATAGGATAGCTAAGGCTATTGAAGTTAGGGCTGCCGCTATTGTTGCAGCAGCCATAATTGGATTGCTTGCTTGTGCGGGAGATATTCCTATTCGAAAGTCACTCCAAGATAAGACCAACAGCCATACCGTTAAGACGAAGCAACAACCCAAGGTAGAGTTGATTGTTGGATACACGGGTGGGTGCATCGTCCATTTTCAGGATTACTTAGCAGACTGTCAAAAGTTTCTCGACTCGATAATCCAAGCCGAGTTTGGAGACGATGCTCCTGTAAGTGTCGTCATGAGCCCTTGTCACGACGGTGGAATCACTGGGGCAGGTGTATTATGTGGTGCCTCTCAAGCGAAGTCCAAGGACGTTGACGTCTAGGATTTTAACATGATAATATAGACTAGGGATATTCCGGAGTTTGGAGAGGTATACGTTCACACTACCATGGAAAGGAATATCATCATGACCGCTGCATATCATGGCAGCAGCACAGGTACGCTCTTATGATAGAAAATCTCATACGCTAGAAATAGATATTACTCATATTTACACTTTGATAAGCTCCATTTCTGAGCACGCAATATGGCTTTAGTGCCGTGAATATCATCGAAGTGGGTATACTCAGCGAAAAGATAATTTAACTTGTAATATGTGCGCCAATCTCATTTTCTCGTCCAAGAAGAAAAAAAAAACTAGGGGCAAGGTAGGTTGAATACTAGAGTCTACCAAAACAATTGGCGTATGGGGGTATACGCTCTTTAGGGTTATGAAGCAAGGTTAGCGTTATTACATGGCGAGACTAGTTGACTGACTTATATAGTTAGACCACAAAGTATCTACATAGGTAGAAGTCAAACTACAAACTACAAACTACACCTTGGGGTCCGACCGAACAATGGTCACGCGGACGGACAGTTCTGGCCAAACGCTCGAGACCGAGGATCGGGCACTCAGCGGTTCCCCGCATAATTCGGAAACGATCTGCTGCCTCTCATAAAACCCACCGTCCACCAAGTCCGTCCACCAGTCCACCTTGTGCGCATAGTAGCAACCCGCACGTACCACGGTTGGCTTCTATAAGGGGCACCTATCCTGCCATACAGTGTATATAACATACATATCTTCAACATCCATCTATGTAGTTCCACCTGCAATGAACTTTTTTTTCTTCTTCTTTTCTATTCTCTCACCGACTCGTCTATTCCTTCTGTCTTAGAATTGTCGACTTTTACTTATAAATCTTACTTCCCTCTCTCTCTGGATGTGAGAATATCTAGGATATTAATTGTTCTGACGGTATCCTCTTTTCGGCGTCGAGGACCACTACCTAATATACTAGGTTAGGTCACTTATATCTACCTATCTAAGCAGGGCCTCGTTCTAACGGCGTCGGCAATTTTCAAATCCTAGTTAATCTCTCTGGTGGGTCGACGAGACTAAAACTTGCTACTATACTTAATTTCGGAAGAATAGTCCCTAGCGACTGGAATAATCCCCGAGCTATTCGCCGTCACGATGGGCGACGATGGCGAAGCTCAACCGCACGGAAATGGCTCCGAACCTATCACGGAGCGAACAGCTCTTTTGGGGGATAGGCATTCCCAAGAACCAAGTCCCATCGCGATTCCTCGCGGGGCAAATGGCAAAAGCGTCATCGCCGACGACGGCAGCGGGAGCGGGAGTGGGAGCGAAAATGACCTAGACCCGAATGAGTCGGACTTGCTGGTGGCGCGCAGCTTTACGTCGGGGGCGTCGGGTCTGGCGCCCGAATCCTTCGAGTCGGCCATGCTTCGGGGGCGTCGCCGATCTAGGAGCACGATGCGTCGCCGCCCTTCGATTGCCCGCAGCGTTACGTCGCCGCCGCCGCGGCCTACGCTGGATGAGCAGCAGCCTGACGATTCGCTGTCGAATGTTGTTAGCGACGATGAGGCTGACCTCGAGGCTGCTGATGTCCAGCTAAGGCCGGCGTATTTGATAGACACGGATAAGAAGCGGTTTGGAATCGTGTTCTTGAGTATTATGTTAACGCATTTCATTGCGTGTTTTGATGGGACTATTGGTATGTATAAAAAGGCATTTCGTATTATTATTTTCAAAATATTTGACTTGTAGTGGCTAATACTCAGTAGTAAGTGGAATAAACCCTTTCATTTCGACTCTCTTACGAGTGAACGTCGAAGTGTACCTTATATACCTAGGTATACACAACGGTAGGGTTGCAAAGCTAATACAAGATGCTTCAATATACTAGATGGCATCCTCACACCCGGTTATCACAAGTTACTTCCGCAGCTCTAATAGCGCTAGCTGGTTGTCGACTGCATTCCTCCTGACGAGCACGGCTTTCCAGCCCGTCATTGGCCGCCTCTCTGATACTATCGGTAGAAAACCGCCTTACCTAGCTGCTGTGGTCATCTTCGCACTCTCGACGCTGTGGTGTGCTCTTGCACAGAGCATGACGAGCTTTATCCTTGCGCGGGCTGCTTGCGGGCTCGGCGCTGGAGGTGTACTGGGAATGGGAAGTATTATTATAAGTGATCTGGTGCCTATCGAGTACGTCCCCATCTTGCTGTAAACGTCAATCAGAGACGGGAAATGGTCATCGTGAGCAGATTACTGACTAGAATGAAAGACGTCGAGGTTCATATCAGAGCTACGTCAACGTTGTTTATGGGTTAGCTTCAGCCTTGGGAGCGGCTTTGGGAGGATTCATGGCAGACAGCCTCGGCTGGCGCTGGGAGTTCGGCATCCAGGTCTTTCCTATCATTCTCTGCTTCGTGGTGGCTTTTTACGGCATCCCCGATGATCTCGGCCTGCAGGATAAACACCAGAGTTTTAAAGAGGGCATGAAGACGTTCGATTTCAAAGGATCTATCCTACTAACTACGTCTACTACGTTTTTGATCTTGGGAATAGTACGTAATGACCTGTAACGATTGATATAATCATATCTACTAACTGCAATTGTGTAGAACCTCGGAGGCAATGTACTGCCATGTAAGTAACAATACGCTTTCTCTAAGGAGAAAAGGGGTTATTATGGAAATATAGACTAACACACAGATAAGGGTCGCATCCGTTCATAATCGCTTCGCTCGTTATCTTCATCGTCTGCTTCCCGGCATGCCTATACGTAGAGTCAAAGCACGAACGACCTATCATGCCTTTAATCCTCTTGAGTAAATCCCCAAGGGCTAACATTATCTTCTCGAACTTCATCGCCTCCTTCCTACTAAACGCCATCTTGTTCAACACGTGAGTCCCCCCCCCATGCCCCATACCCGTTTTGCATTTTAACCAAATACACGCCTCAAAACCTTTATCAAGAGTACAACCCACATCGACCTAAAACAACACGAAGAGGAAAAGGGAGACAGAAGAAGAAAAAGAAAAAAACAGTGTAAAAGATCTAATAAGAAACCAACTCGCAGCCCCCTCTTCTTCCAAGCCGTCCTCCTCACCAGCGCCACCACATCCGGGCTCTACCTCGTCGTCCCCGTCGCCACGGCCAGCACCACCGGCACGCTCACCGGCTTCCTAATCTCGCACACCCGACGCCTCAAATGGCCCATAGTCCTCGGCTCGTTTCTATACCTAGTCGGCACCGCGCTCCTAGCCTTCATGCACCGCGGCTGGCCCAACTACGCGTACCTCCTGTGCCTAGTGCCCTCGTCCGCCGCCCAAGGGTTCCAGTTCCCAGGCACTTTTCTCGCCGTGCTCGCCGCCTCCGAGCACCGCGAGCAAGCGGTCGTAACGTCCACACTTGTTCTCTGGCGTGCCCTCGGCAGCGTCCTCGGCGTCGCCTTTTCGTCCCTCGTGCTCCAGAACGCGCTGGTGCGGTACCTGGCGGCGTTCGTCGTGCCGCCTGAGGGCCTGGGTCAGGATTGGAAGGACGCGTTGATAGAGAAGGTCCGCGAGAGCGTCGAGGCTGTTGCCGCGCTGCCGCCGGGCCCGGTGCGGGACCAGGTCGTTGCTAGTTACGAGGCGTCGATCCGACTTACCTTCCTGTGTCTCGTGGGGTTCGCTGCTATTAGTGCTTTATTGGTTGTGCCCGTCAAGCTGCCGAGGCTTGCGGGGAGGAAGTAGGATATTAATTGGATACCTAACCTATCTGTAAGCCAATGTTATTGTTAGGGTAGTTAAGTCAAATAATAGATTAGTCAAGAAAAGGAAAGGAAAAAAAAAAGGAAAAGGAGGGATATAGCAATTTGAGAGCTTCATGTTCATGCCTAAGCGCTTGATTCATTTACATGGTGTTCTGCATTCTCAATTGCTCTCGAACTCCTTTCATAGGCTTAGATGGGTTTTAATCTAGGTTACAATAGTCAGTTTAGGTATCCTTTGCTAAATAAAAGCCGTACCATCAAATGTGACTCCTCTCTCTCGACACTTCTACTATCCTGCAGTCAGTAGTAGTAGTAGTAGTAGTACGTGACTACGCGTAAAATAATGTACAATCTATGCAATCGAACCCGGCCCGTTCCCATGGTGAAATTAATGGTAGCCGTTGACGCCGTCCACTAAGGCGTCGAGCTCCTCCTTGGTTTGGCGGTACGCTTCCTGCGCCTCGCGCTCCCTGCGGCTGACATAGCCGACTTCCTCCCTCAAGGCCTCGAGTCGACTCCTGGCAGCGATCTCCTCCGACACAGCCAGCGTTCTGAATGCGCTGAGAGCGAAGTTCGCCTTTTCAAAGGCTTCGTATGCCTCACCCATCTTCGAGCGGAGCGTCTTAGCTCGCTGCTGATACCCGCCTAGATGGAGTGTAAGCTTCTTCTCAAGCTTGGCGCACTTCTCCACGGTTTCCATCGTAGAGTCTTGTACCGCCTGTAGAGAAAATATTAGTACGAGTTGCCAAATATATAGGTATGTATAAAAATTTAAGACCACGTTGGTGTACTCACATCGAAAGCGGCTTTCATCGCTACTACCTCCTCTTCCTCGTCATCGTCTTCGTAGCAACCCAATCCAAGGAGAAGCGCGTTGCTGCCTTCTCGCTCCCAACTTGCCTGGATCTCCTCGGGTTTAGGCTTATTATTAACCTCCATAAGGATCTTTAGTCGCGCCTCAGCCAGTGAGGCGTCATCGATCTGCTGTATTTGGGTAGGACCAACGCTAGATTTAACACCTCGTACCGGGAACTTCACCGCATCATTCGCAATGAGTAAAGCAGCCTCTTTAGCAATTTGAGCCTCGATGGGGTCGGAAATCGAGGATGCCTGTTGGATAAGGGCCTCGAAGTTAACAGATTCCGGTCGTGGCAATTGTTTTTGCATCACCTGGGTCCGTCTCTTCCTCTCTAGTTGTTCTTGGGCTTCCCTGATAGCACGCTCCCGTTGATCCCGCACTTCAGCATCCTCTTCGGTCTCGTCCATTACCATAACTTCTCGTTGGTCCTCTGGTATTTCAAGCTCCCATTCTGTTTCTTTCGGTTTTGGTAAGGAAGCGAGACCATACTTAAGCTGATGCTTCATTGATAAGTCTCGGAGTCGTATATCATTAGTCGATCCCCCTACCAGGGACATATCCCCATCGCTAGCGTTCAGCGCAAAGCTATCCCTGGGAGTCCGTAGTGGTGTTTGGCCGGGCCTTCGAGGCGTAGCACCGACTTCATTTAGGCCGGTACGTAGAGGCGTAGCTAAGGGATTAGGTGTTGACACGACTTGCTTTCGGGGGGTGGCACCTTCGAACCCCGTCGAACCGGCCCCCTCTTGGAGATCAACATTCTCCCCCCCTAATAATGCCGACTGATTTTCAGTAAGCGCTCGGATATTCCTTATTTCGTTGGCGACCCGATCTTCCTGCGGCGGAGCCATGGGTGTTCGAATCGGCGTTTGCGAGTTTAAGGTAGAGTAGGTGTTTACCAATCCCCTAGTCGCGTCGTTCTCACTGGCCTGAGCAAGCAGGTTTGCTCGCTCGCCCATCATACCCATCTTGACTATATCCTCAAGCTCGCCATCGCTGACTTGGGGGGATGGAAGAACGAGCGCTCGCCTCTTGCTGCTTTGCTCTGCCTCCCGAATCTTTTGCATCTGTCCGGCCTTCAAGGCAGCCTGCATGGAGGCTGAAGGGGCATCCTTATCATTTTTCCGTCTCTTCCTTTCGGCCTCGTCATCTTGTTCACCTTTACGCTTGTTCGCAAGCTGCTGCTTCCGAGGATCGAAAGCCGCTCGTTGCTTCTCGTTTCGTGTTTGTTCGTCCGCAGTATCATAAAAACCTTGAGCGGGCGCTTTCTCGAATGGGATGTCGGCATTGTAGTCCATTTGCCCCTTCTTACGAGTTACCACCTTGATGTTGATACCAGCGGTCTTGAGTTCCCGGCGTTTCTGTAAAGCAGCAAGACGACGCGATTCTTCTTGTTGACGCTCTCGAGCTTTCCGCTTTGCCTTCTTTCCTTGCGTGTTAGCCAAGCGAGCACGCGCCTCGCTTAACATCTCTTTCTCATCCTCGTCGAGATCGATGGTATCGGGTTTCGCCGGTTTGCTCTCGGGATCTGGATCGACCTCGCCTGGTCGTAGTCTTCGTACATCGTCGGCTGTGGGTGCCTGGGTCTCGCCGCCTTCAGGACCGGTTAGGCCAAGGCTTGAAGATTCTCGTTGCTCGGCTTCGTCGAGGAGTTTCTGGTAACGTTCCAAACACTGGTTTGCAGTGCGGCCAACAATAGGAGCGATTGTCCGCCATTGAGTTGGCATCAACTTGGCCAAATGAAGCAATCTCTCGTCCTCTTCCTTGCTCCATTCTATCTTTTTGATGCTGGGATCGAGCCATTCGTTCCATCTGGCTTTGCATTGTTTAGGCGTCTTTCGCGGTAGCAATGACGAGACACGCGCCCATTGATTTAGACCATATTTAGAAACAGAAACTTTGAGGATTTCATCTTCAATATTAGTCCACACTCCTCCCTTAACAACCGGCATCCTGATTATATTCGCGTTCGGTGTCGCGATCGTAGACGTTGGGTAGTAGATGCTTTGAAGTAGCCAGCCTTGTTGGAAATTCCTTGTTGCGAAGGCGACGGATGATAAAAAGCCTTGGCGCGAAGCTAAGAGCTGCGATAAAAGCTGCAGGTGGGTACCTAGGTACCTAAACTAAAGAAGCACCGGTAAAATATCGGGAAGTTTAGTATACACCTCCACCTTTTATACCGTATTTCTACATACTTGCATATATGGCATATATAAATATTCGTACTTACATAAATTCTTATTATCGCATTCCGTAACTTTAACCCTTTTTAATTTTAGGAATAGGTGACTTTGTTTAACTTTTTACTTTTCCTTTTTTTTTTCTTTCTTTTAAGTCTTTAATCCACCTTTCTATCTGATATATAATATCTTAAATTATATTCCTCTAGTTTTTCTTTCAGTAGTCTTTTTAAATATTTATATGAAAAAATTAAGTTTATTTAAACTGTTTAAAGTTATTTATTTTTTAGTTTTTAAAAATAAAAATCTTTAATAAATTATAACTTTATTATTAAAGCCTTTTTAATGGAAGTTATTACTAAAATTAAAATTTTTAAAATAAGTATTTTTATTTTAAATTAATAATATTTAATTAGTTTTTATTTAATTAATTTTTTAATATTTACAATTTAATAATAATATAATTTTTTGTTTTTAATTTAATTAACAATATTTTATTATTTATATTAACTTTTAAATTTTTAATCGTAATTAATTTATTTATTACTTCGGTTTTTAAAGTTTTTTTTTTTTTTATGATAGTTTTAATATTAATAAACGATAAATTTAGGTTTGGTAAAATTTTTTGCTATTTTTTAAGCTTTATATTTATTAATGCTGTTTTTAAATATTTAGTTTAAGTTTTGGTTGTAATAATTTTAACGATAATTGTGTCAAGTACTTTATTAACTTTTTTAAATAAAAGTTGTGTTATAAGTTGCGTAAATAATTTATTTACCGCAATTAATTTCCGGGTTAAAATATTAAACTTCTGTAAATTAAAAGGCATTTTTAAATTAATCGGTATTATTTTTTTAGTAAAATTTGGCGGTGGGAGGTTAAAGCCGTAAACCGGAGTTACCGGGGTTTTAGCGGTTTAATTTTGGAATATTAATTGGTAATTTAACGGCTTTTTACAGTTTTTAAGATAAATATTAATAACTTTCCAATTGGCAAGGATATTTTTAACTGTTAAGCGTTTTTTTTGTGTTATTTAATAGGTTGTAAAAAATTTTTTTTTGCTAAAATTATTATTAAAAAAAATAAAGTATATTTTATTTAATTTATAATAATAGTTTTATTTAATTAACGAAAATATATTTACGTTAATAATTTATAATATATAAAATAAATATATTAAATAAAAGATTAAATAAATTTTATTAATATAATATTTTTATATAAATTTTATTGTTATATAATTGTTATAATTATTAAAAATTAATAATTGTTATTAATTTAAATTTAAAAGTTTAGTTTTAAATATAAAAACTTTTTATAATTATTTAAAAGTTATATTATTATTAGTTTAATTGTTAAAAAATATAATAAAGTATTAGTTTATAAATTTATTATTGTTTATATTAAGAAATTATTATTATTATATATTTTTTTTTATAAATATAATAAAAAAATTTAAAAATTAATTGTTGTTATTAATGTATTTAATTAATAACGTTTATATATAATTTCTATTGTTTTTTACGATAATATATTTTTTATATAAGTTATTAAAAATTATACCATTATCTCCGATATTTTTTATAATCTTTATTTTGTTAATGTTATAAAAATAAATAAATGGGATATTGGTAATTTATAAATTTTAAAACTTATTAAAAAAAATATTAATATTTTTAATAATAATTTTGTTAATTTATTTATAATTAATTAAACAAGTTTTAATAATTTTAATTTAAAAATAACGGGTTAAAAATTGTTTATACCAATATTTATTAAATAATAAAAGTTATTTATTACAGTTAAATAATCTTTTTATAATATTTTTAAAATAATATATTAACAATATATAATTAATTTAATTTAACATAACGGCCCACGCAATTAATTTATTTTTTTAATATTTTAAAAAATTTTAAAAAGTTTTTAAATATTTTTCCCGTA